GCATGATCAGACGTCCACACTGGAAATTGTCTATAAGCCTTCTCACACTGGGCATGATTTATATAATGCTATATGAAGTGCAGGGACTAGGAAAAAAATAATTGCTGATTTCTAAATAACAGTTATCTTTATGGTTTTTTTAATTTAATTCTCTCTAACATTGTCATTGTTTTTATTACTTTAGGAACTATTAAAACTCTGCTCTCTACTGAGGGAGAGGTACAGAGGGAGATGCACTTCTGGCTCCCTGCTGCATTGGAACAGTGTGTATGAACAACACTAGTTCTAGTCTGTGCCCTCGCCCGCTCCAATAGCTGTGCCATTCACAAAGCTCAGAACAGTGATGATGTTAATGCTGTGCTTGGTAAGCGAGGGGGTGTAGGGACAGCACTAGACCTAGTGTCATTCATAAACACCAGCTTTGACAATCATCCATTATTATTACAAAAAAATAACTATTGCATATGCTTGGTCACATAGCGGACTTAACATGTAGGCCAATCTGTACTGTATGCAGTAAATTTCTGCAATACATGCACCTTCCCCCAGTAAATTCTGCAAGAACAGAAAAAATACCAATTGATCTTGCAAGAAATCCAGTGAGCTACTAACTTCCTATGCCTCTGCTGCACCTAAATCCCAAGCAGTGTTATCAGTCCTGTCCAGTTCTCTCCTGAAGGACTAAAACATGTTATGTTATGGAGATGAGGAGAAGTTTTCTATAGCTCAGCATTAGAGAACCAGGCAGGGCTAAAAACACAGCACCTCTACAGCACTGAAATTCCAAGCTGTGTTGTCAGCTTAAACAGCAAGTTAGGAGTGCACTGTACTTCTGGCAGATAAACAGGTATTTTTCTGTAGCAGCATTTTTAAATAGACAAAACATGCGGAAAATGCACATGTATTGCATATTAAAGATTACATTTCCCATCCCCCATGTTCCTGCTATAAACTGACAACAAAAAGTGAAAGAAGACGGAGCATTCTCCAGTTCCCCCTTAGGCCTGGCTCACACCTAGGTGCTTTCGAGCAGTTGGAAAAACACTTTTAAACGCCTAACACAGGAAATCCCATGATTTTCAATGGCCCCTGTTAACACCTGAGCAGCAAAACAGCAGCAGGAAAATGCCAAAGGTCCATGAGCTTCTTTGGGCAGTTAACAGCGTGTTTTTGGCGCCATAGATTTTAATGGAAACACCCAAAAATGCGCGGCAGAGGCATGTTGCATATTTTATTGTACATGGGTTTGTCCATTGCCCACAATGAGATGCCAGTCAAAACACGTGTCTTCATGTACGCGCGTACAAACGCGCCTCAAAATGTGCAAAACGTGCATAAGCGTGCAAACAACCGCACACTGAAAATGTGCAAAAATGATGCTGCCTAGGTGTGAACCCGGCCTTATCCTTTTCTGACATGTGTTTATTGCAGATTCATTAGGGATATAGAAAATGCTTTATACATAGAGAATAAGAGGTATCTAAGCTGTCCTACTCTCCTCCTACTCTGACTCAGTGAGAAGCAGGGTGGTATACATCTTGCTTTGATATCTTAGACCACATATGAAAAATTAATAGTTCATAAGATGATTTTTGTTGGAACATATTCTTTATTTAGAGCTATTCTGCACTTAAGTACATGACTCAACATCATCTAAATAACATTCAGTAAAAAATAAACAGTTCTATAATTGGCAGTATTTTCACATGGAAATGCAACTTCTGTTAAGTTTCAGTAGAGATTAAAATGAAATTTGAACGCAAGAAAAGAAAAATATTTTATGTGCTGTATCTCCCATAATATATATTTTTATATGTAAATATAGTATATTCTATATCTATATAGTATTGCCAAAAATAATCAATTCTGTGCTTATACGCTGGCAAGCATGAGTCTGACACAATTCAATGCAGACTGCTCCCGGAAAAAACAGGTAGCTATGACTGTATCAATAGGTCTAAATGCAAGGGCAAACAATAACTTACTGATACTTTTAAGCTGTTTGTCAGATTAGTATTTTCATACGTGAAAGTATACATTTATGTATTAACATAAGCCTAAAGAATATTGGACCTAATATATCAGCATGTTTGAAACAAGATCGGCCTGTGTTATCCTCAGCAACCAGACCAAATCTGCTTTTTATTTTTCCAGTGATGCTTTTAATTTGAAAGTTAAATCTGATTGCTAGGAAACCTACTAATCGTAGATCTTAGAAAAAGGAAGATAGGCTTTGTCATATTTGTGATGGCTTAGAACCCTTGAACACTTTTGTGGTGTGTGAAGCTATCGGGCTAATGCTTAGTGCATCACAAAACAGGACCCTAAATGGTTTAAATTGGATTTGAATTCAATATGGGTATTTTTTTTTAATTGGTGCTTACAAATGTCAGGGGCCCGTTAAATGTACTTACAGTCAGAATGTATTAGTTGCATCTGCTTATTTAGCACCATTATGCCCACTTTCATTCCCGGTATATACATAAATTCACATCCAGATGTGATGTGGATTTTAAGTATCTATTTACTTAGATGCTATTACACATTATTTTATCCTCTTTGCCTCCTAGGCCACTGACACAATGCAAACTCTGACATGCCAGGCTTTCCTAAGACTATATAACTTGTGTTGTATAACGTTGTTTTTTTTAATATAAATTAGAAATGTAACCCTTGCTCAGGAAATATTCAGACAGTCCTGTAATATAAATGATACTGTAAAAGCGCATGCGTAAAAGGCACATCATACTTCAATGAAGCATTGTACATGTAATACACTAACAACAATGTAATTTTTTGAAAGGAACCCATTGGTTTAGGATGCTTATTAAAATTTTACAATATTACAAACAATCACTGACCACTCAAGCTTTACTCCTGTCTGACAGGCAGCATCCCACAATCCTACATGTATACATCAGACTCCAATGGTAACACTTTCCTCTTTGGGGAATAATATACTCCTAACTGAAAAGTTTATGACCTGATCAGTTGTGTATTCCTATGCCAAGCATATCTGCTGTGGTGGGTAGTACCCCAGTAACATACTACCACTCAATCTGACCACTTAAGCAGAATCAATTGATTCTAAATTAAAATACAGAGGCCATTTGTATGAGACTGCTGGGATTTGTGACCTTCATGTGGAACACATTAATATACTTAACATCATTCATAGCAATCCCTGCACTGCCACACCTCAGCAAACAAAGAATGCTGTAGTGGATCTACAATTGCAAGCACATCTGAAATTTCAGTTGACATATATTAGTATTTTAAAAGATTTGTTGGACATTTAATTTTACATAGTGTGCATTTTAAACTATTAAAATGTATTGCCTTTCACTTAAGTTCAGCTCTAAATACTTGCCATGCGTCCTACACCTTTACTGATGTATGTTTTTTCCACACATAGTCTCATATCCACTGTTTATGTATTCGAATATGCCAAAAATACTACTATTATTCAAATATTCTATTAGTCAAAATATAAACTAAATCATTTACTTACAACAGTCTAGTGCAAAGCGATTTAACAGTTTTTATTAAGACACATAAAATCTGCTATTAAAATATGTGTTTCTTTGATAATTATAGCACATTGGCATGACTATTTTGCCACAGCATAGATCAATTAAATTGCATTTTGTATTTAAAATATAAAAAGAGAAACAACTTAATTTAACTACATTTAGTTTAGTTGCCTAAATTTAAATAGTTTGTTTCCGTTAATTAGAGTTCTCATGTTAAAATGTCCTATACCAGTGACTTGGGGGCACATTGAATCCCCGCCTTTAACATGTTTGGTGGCTGAAAAAGAGAAACAGGAACACTCACAGCTGCCTTTGTTATCCTTTTCAGCATGACGCAGCCTGAGCCTCAGAAGCCAAGTGCTTTCAATAAGTTTCAAAACCTAGAACAATTACGCATTTAGAATTTTCAAGTTCTCCAGCTTCAGAGCCGCTTGTTTACAGCTACAAAACAGTTGTTTTGCCGAGGTCCAAATGAGGAGACATTCACCAGCCACTGGAGAAATTTCCCCCAGCCTGAAGGTGCAAAATGGCATTCAAAAGTTGTGTAGCAACAGTAGTCAAATCCCTTAAACACTTATTTAACTAGGTCCCAGAAGGAACAGGGTTACATTGATCTCCAACCTTTACTGGCTTCTTTCTTTCTATGAAAAGCTGTCAATTGGGATGCTGATATGTCTATGAGGATTTTTACAGTTATAATGCTTATAGCATACCTGTTCTTACATTACTGAATATCACTGATTTCATGCACAGAATAGGAGGACATAACATAGTAAGGATTAGGTAAAAGGGAAAGACTGTTGGCAAAAAGGAGATCAGCCAAGACATGTGAAATAGGGGCTAGAGGTAAACAACAATAATTAAACTAATGTGTTATCATTCAACAGGATATTTTTCTTCATAGAGTTTTTAGTATATTTCTGCATGGATGACAGTGCATACAAGTATCAGTGTATGTTCCAATCCATCTTACTTGAATTACTTATTCATGTGACTAATTCAGAGCATACCCCTATTATATGGCAACCTACAGCATAGACAGCAGATTAACTTAGACATCCTGTAATTATAACTCTATTCTTTCATTCTAAAGTTAGCAGCATATATGTCTTACATTATGTAAATATGAAACTGGTAAATCGTATGGTCATTCTATGGTTAGCCAAACTCAATTTCCAGAGACAAAAAGCAATGTACACAAAGTTTGGTCACAGAATGTAGTAATACAATTCTGCATTCATTAAAAATACTGCCAAATATTATTTGAGAAGTGACAATTTATATTAACATTAATTCTACACAATATACCAAATACATAGCCTTCTTCAAAAAATAGTTACTCGGAAATCTAATGACATACAAGCTCTCTTTTTTTTAGGCTTAGCTATAGCCTGGCTACTCAGTTCAAAATAAACCCATGAACCTATTTTTATTTTATTTTCATGGAAAACAAATGTCCATTTTTAATATTTCAAGCAAAGGTAAATATTTAGCCTCTAGTGATGAGCATATTCCACAGATGTTCAAAATATGTGGCCAAGCTGTGGTTTACTGATAAGTTAGCCTTTCTTGCTGGAAAAAAACGTTGTGTTTAGCTATTTCTGTTAATTATTCTAATGTGAACAACCATGTCCATTGGCTATTATTCTTCTAGGAGTAATTTCACAGCATCTTGTTTCTTCAGGGCCCAGTCCTGTAACATGATGACCCAGCAATCTGGCATGGGGTAAATTTCTTAAGAATTCTTCATCTGTGAAATCCCTGCTGGACGTTGGCATCCATTTCATTACTAATTTCATTATACAGTTTATAATTACACTTTTTGTAGTTTTGTTACTTCTGCTGAAGAAACAAGTTAATATTGTAGCAGATTGCATCAATTATCTATGGAGTTATTGGTACCGTTGACTAATTTTTCTTTTTTCTGCAGTGTTTTTTTTTTCTTAGAATGAACGTAAAGCTGGTTATATTATTGGCAGCCGAAAGTCAAAGGGAAATCAACTGAGCAGATTGTTTGATGCTCCATATGTCTTCTAGAAAAGGGTGATAAAAAAACTGGAGTAAACTATTGTTTTGTTTCCCCTCACATATCTAGTAGTAGTCCTCATAGTTTTTGGGGTTCAGGCAGTAAAGTATGGCACCTCCAAATGAAAATATTGTTGCACCCCACGCTAATCCATATCCCCAGTTGAATTCATGGTATATCTTTAGAGTGACAGTCTCAATGAACTTGATTGGATATAGCACAAGACCACAGACCTGAAGAACAACTGAAAAAAAAGAAACAATAATTAGGCAAACTAAGCAATTACATTTTATATCAGCATATATATATATATATAATATGATTGACTGCAATATCATTTAAAAAATAATAATGTTTTTCTTTCACCCACTAATTTTCTAGTATTTGAAACCCAGCTATACAACCCCCTTTAAGTCATTTATTGCAAAAGTTTTAAAGGTTTAAAATAAAAGACAGAAATGAAATAGTGACGTTTTAAAATCCTTTACCACTCTCTATCCAAAAAATAAAAGTAAGTTAGATCGAAAGCTATAAATAAACATTTTGTAGAACAAATAGTGCATTTATAACAAAAACATTACTTTTTAAGGTAAAGCTTACAAGGTTGATTTACTTAAGGCAAATAGACTGCTCACATTGCAAGGGAGTTTTCCCTTAGGTTAATTAATTGAGTGAAGCTCTACTGACATTCATCATTCAATCATATTTAAGCAAAAATCCTACCCCACATTCACTGAGCTAAAGAAAAAATCCCTTAAAAAGTTAGCCTATTTTCCTTTAGAAAAGCACCCACTATAACTGAAAGCTGACTCAAGTAACAGGTCATATGCCATTATATAGGTTTATAATCTGTAGGGGAACAAGTAAAAACAAAATACACAGCTTCTGGTTTTTATCATTTCCACTTTCAATGATTTCTTAAACTCAGTAAAGCAATATGGATTAAAAAAGTTAAGTACTAGAGAGCCTTGTGTGTTGACATATGATTTTAATTTGATATGGCATTATAAAAGATCATATCCCTGCTTCTCCAATTCAGCTAAAGGAGTTTATTGAAGTAGCAGGTATTAAAATAATCTCCCTGGGCCAGTCTCATCACTGCACTTCTGCCTTGACTGAAGTTCATAGGAATTTGTACGTAGATTTCCCTTAGTGGCCACATCTAAACCAAAACTTTAAAATGTCATAGTATAAGCTAAAAGGGAGTCACATTCGCATGCAAGTTAAAATTGATTCATTCTTATTTTTGCTTACAGTTTAAAGTACATGATTAGGGGAATGGCTTCCCCTGGGATATTTGAAGGTTAATCCCAAAATACTGTAAAGACTGAGACCAATAACATAAACAAATCAATTAAATCTCAACAAGAGAAAGAATTCCTGCTTTAGAACAGCATGTGGATTAAATGTTATTTACAGTCTCTGGGGCTGGAGCAATGTCCAGCTCCTATGGGCTTATAAACATGGGAATCAGAATTATAAGCAAGTCAAATGCTGTATGCTTTAAGAAGCTCCTCAGTTGCTTTGGCTTGCATTTAAGTTGATTTCATTTGCTTTTCAGTCTGCTCATGTAGTTGCTTCATGCTTTTTCTTACTTGTACTAAGCTGCTCATGAATTGTCTTAAACTTACACTAAACTCAGGAGTTAAATCTTAAAATTGCATTCAAGTGCCTTCACTATTAACTATGTAGCTTATTTGTGCATCACTCGGCTGTAGATCCTCAAATCACCTCTGAATTCATGCTGACACTGTCCTACCTTCTGGAGGGTGGCTACTTTTGTTCCCCATAGTCCCTGTGTGTGTTGTAAAGTAGCCACCAATCCAAGCTCTCAATACAAATTAGTAAACCAAATGTCAGATTGTAGTCTATCATGGGAGTGAACTTGGAGCTGTGACTACTTTAAAATAAACATGTGCTGGAAAAACAGTAAAAAAAAAAAAACAACCACTTGTGACATATATAAGGGCATCACAATGTGTCAGTACATTCCAAAAGCTATTGAGTACAGCCTTCAGGAGAAAATGGGAGCACTATCAATCTAATATGCAAAAACAATACTTTCTGTTTCTGAAGAAATAGGCATTCCCCACTGTGCCCCCAGGAGGAGATGCTCCTTGCCTTGTTATCCTACCCAAAACTAGAGCAATTAGTTATTCAAAATAGTTATTCTCCAACTAGATTGTCTTAATATCATTACTTTGATTTTAGTTGTTGTTTTTAAATGTTTGAGCTTTCGTTTCCCCCCCCCTGTTTTGATAAAAGTAAATTTTCGACACTACAATGACATGGGTCATATAATCTTAGCACAACCGTATGCTTTTAGCTAACAGTAATATACTGCAAAGCATTTCTGTAAACCTTCTTTGTAATTCTAAAGGTTTATCTGACTGAATTAAGTGAAATTCTCATGAAAGAAACAGAATAGCTTTATCTTCATCCAGCTGTGTGGAAAATGTTAAAAGTGTAAATAATGGAGTTTTATCTTGACTTGAAACATTCATGGGGCTATGATTTCCCCTCAACGACAAAATGATTTCTTTCAATTTAACAATGACTTTGCATGTGTTTCTCACAAAATCCGTTATAATATATATTTATATATTTTTTTTAAATATGCCCGTATGCCTAGGGATATTTTTGCCACTTCCAGCTCGAAGTGTAATTAAACTAATGAAAGAACAATATCATAGCATGTTACTCTATGTTTGTCAGCTGTATAGCTTGTTTTATAAATCAATCATTCATATGGATGACATTCTACCATGGGAATGTGAACATTGAAAGTACTGACAAAGAACATGCTGGGTGAGCTTCTTACAGTCTTTATTACACAGCAAATGTTTTCTAAGACACACTGCAGCTGGCATGGAGCATCAAGTCTTTCCTGTAGAGCAGATGTTTCCCAGCACAAACTACAAACACTTGATCAAGTTTAGAGTTACCCCAGCTCTCTAAATACCAACAGTTAGTTGAAGTGGACTTAGAATAAAATATATTTTTTCATGCTAAGTGCCTGCATGCTACTTACTGTGTAACTGTAACACATACAGGTATTTGTTTCCGCTACCATAGACTACAGTACTACCATTGACAATGCCTTCACCTTCCTTTTTAACCAATGGTATCTTTGTTCAGGTATTGTCCAGGGTCAGCATCTATATCCTGCTCAGGACATAGTCATGAAAATCCTGGTGCATGTGCAGTACTTGGCTGTGTTCATAAATGTCTGACACTCACAAATGCTGCCTCTCACATTGTGATGTGCTAAGTTCCAATGTTGCAATCTGATCACTGAGGAGACTGAGAAAATGCTTCTTCCTGGATCTCAAAGATTGATCATTATTGATGAAAGGTACAGCTTACTTTAAAAAAATTAAACCGTTAATGTGATATTGTGACATGTCAGAAGTTGAATCATGCAAACATGTAAAGTTAATGAGAGGTTCACTTTAACATAATTCTACAGTGAAGCCCTGCACTTCTTCCCTGTGCCCATTAAAAAGAATTATTAAAGAAGACTACCACTGAAGTGTATATTCAGGAAGAAAAATGTTAATTACCACACATTTGGTTTTCTAAAACAATAAACAAACTCCTATTAAAATGCAAACCCAGTTTATGTGAGTATAACTGATATTTTATGGTAGAGGGAGAGAGAGGGAAGGTATACAATGCAATCAATGTAGTGTATTACCTTCTTGCTATAATGCATACTGAGAATGTGCATGCTGTTTCTCAAAATTTCACTTCATGTGACTTTTAAACATCTCCAGCATGGTATTAGATAAAGGGTAATGCTAGTAATAATTGCACAAAAGATGTCTGGTTTATTATCGAACTAGGCATTTGATACACAATTTAATTTAATGCCTACATTAAAAATAGATATTTGCCATCTGAAAATACAAAGAAAAAAAAGCAAATATCTCTTCACTCTGCTTTCTGTTGTACCTTTTTCACATTTCAGTCCATTGACAAATGTGAACTGGAATGTTAGGCAATCATGTAATGTTACATAATGTAAAATACTATGGCACATTTGTTATTATTTCAGTTAATAATGTTAAACCATGTCTACACCACACTTCAAACTGGAAAGAACAACCTTTTAATATGGGTGTCTTAAGTTAAACCACAGCTTTGCTTGGTCACTTTTTTTTTTATAAATTCTGTTTATTTAAGGAATACCAGAGAGTTGGAATCGTTCAAGATGTCATGTATGCTCGATATTCATCCGTGGTTGTATATTCGAGCCAGTAGTGCCAAGTAGTATTGAATCTAGAGGAAGTATCTTTAATGTGACTGGTAAGGTCTTCCATATATCTGAGGTCATTAATTTTGGTGAACCACAGCTTTACCGAAGGGGGAGCCTACTGCTTACACAACAGAGGTATACATGCTCATGCTGGGTTGATCAGAAGGACCATTATTGACCGCCTATACCCCTTGAGCGTATACTGGTTGTATCTGCATAAGCAGCTACCTTATGTTGGCGGGCGCCAACCTGTTTTGCTTGGTCACTTAATATTAAGCACCACAAGGAGAATATACTTACCCTCGCCCCATTCAGGCCCCCAAGCATTTCAAAAACCTGAAATTTCTTAATAAGGAGGTACATTTAATATGTCCCTCTGCTTTGCATAGTACCCGAGTTACCAAATGCCAAGCTTGAGCACTGTGACATCGTTAAGCAAAAGTTCACGCTCCGGCAGCTCACTCGCTGCAGTTCGCCCATATTCTCATAGGGGCTGAACGGCAGTAAGTGAATAGCCAAAAGGCGCGGCACCTGCCAGAGTCTTCTAGCTCATCCCGACCGATGAATAACAACTGTGCAGAGTTGTCATCATTTGTGTGGGGATCGGTCAGCTTCGGCCGACCTTTCTCCGCGCTTAAGCTGTCACTTCGGCTCAGTCAAGCCAAAGCATATGCCTTCAGCTCGGCTGTACAGCGGCCCTTCGGTTTGACTCAACCGAAGGGCAGAGGCAGACGAAGAGAGCAAAAGGAACAGCTGGAGCCTTTGGCTCTTTAGTGAAAAAACCCCACCATGTTTTACCTACTTCTTCTTCGTCTCCTCCTCCTTTTTACCTGTCTTTTCTGCTTCTTCTTATTACTAGGCACCACTCTGCTTTCTATTCCTATTTCTACTCTTTCTTTCTACATATTTTCTCATTCTCATTCTCAACTAAAATCTTTTTATAGATCTGAAATGTTATTGATAGTTATTCAAACAATAACTTTCCT